GCAGGAAAATGTGTTAACCATTGTGCTTTTAATTGCTCTGGGGTCCAGGTCTGTCTGCCTTCTGTGCTGAGGATATCATACATGACCTGAAGTGTGCAGAAGGGATTGTCATTGTAGTCACTTGTGTAAAACACATGAACCAATGGACTGTGGGAATATTTTCAAACTGTTTATGATCTTACTAATATTTCAAGTATTTTATGAAATGGCAATATGTTCAATAGCTAGAGATTTAGATTTTTAAAGTATTCCTTTCTTTCTGCCCCCTTTATCTTGAGCACTCAGTGTTTAAGGAATTTTCTGTGGGGGAAGGAAGAGCTAAACTTCCTGCTCCAGAAGAGACAGAGGAAGGATTTGGACTTTTCTGTCCCAGATGCCAGTTGAGGATCACCTTCCCAGTTCTTTGTGAGAGACCTTACCCAATCTCATGTGCCCTCCAGTCCAGCTCTGAAGATTTCTTCAATTGGGCTCAGAAGCAAAGAACACACCAAGCTGTAAACCTCTCATTTCCATCTGTAAATGCTTGGTTTGAAACTCTCACTGAGGCTGGCACAGAGCATATCCCTTTCAAATGACTTGTTGTTTTATAGGGTTTATTTGGAAAACTAAGCAATTAGGGAAAAACTGGCACCTGTAGTGGTAGTTGATGGCAGAGTGGTGTCTTAAGCACCAAAGCACCCAAATACTTGCTATGAATCTAGTCCTTAACCCCCCTATAGGTAAATGTTTCTGAAGTGCTTCTGAAGTGCATACATGTGTTTTTTGAAGTGGAAGATTTAAATATGTTAAACAGATATACTTGTACTCAGTTTTCTTTAGCCTCTGGCAAAACATTTGTAGAAGAGGAATATTAAGTTCAGTAGGCTCAAAAACTAAGCTGTGCTTGTCATTTTATTTTGCGGAACTAGTGTATCATTCAAGAAATACTAGATTAAGTTGCTTTAATTTTGAAGAAAATTATTTTTTAATTAATTTTTTAGAAGATAAGCAGCCTCCTGTCTTCATTTGTATTGGTTAATGTCATCTTTTCTGTGTTTTTAAAGTTTACTTGTGGAAATTCCCTAGGCATTCTTGGCAAAATAATTCCTAAATATTAGTTGCTAGAGCGTCACTCAACTGATGAAATCTTCTGATTTAAGTAATCTTCAACATAAATGCTCATTTCAGGCCCATGCATGCTCAGATTCAGAAAATTTGTGCGCATCAAAGAGTCTGAAACAGGGTATGCTAGTACTGTAGCTGATGCTTGTACAACTGCCTTGTCTCCATGTTTGCTTAGTGAGAGTAGAGAAGTTACAGGTTTTCAGGTTCCTTCCTTCACGTTTTGCTTGAGGAATTACTGTAATTGGCCTTTTGTGATTCCTGAAGTGGAAGAAATACTGACTAACCTGCTGTTCTATCTCTGCTTTCCAGAGTTCTCCTTTCTCTTAACATTATGATGTTAAAGCTAGACAAACTTTTCATTATGATTTTTGTGAAACAGATTTGAGAAAGTGGTCTAAATATCTTCTAAGATGTAGGCAGCAGTTCTGTTTCCTCTGCATGCCAATATTTAAGATAATTATTTTTAAAAAATCTGAATTACTGTTTTTGCTTCTTGATCACTGTGAAAAGTAAAATAAGGCAAATGGTCTTATTCACCTGAAGCAAACTTAATTCTAGACATTGGCTTTAAAGGGTGTGTTTTTAGAACATCTTACACAATTACAGGCAAAAAAACATTCCAGCTGGAAATGCTTCAAAATGTCAAGCATCAAAAAAATGCAACCACCACTGAAACCTGGAACTCTCTGTAACATTTTCAGCAATGTTTTCTTTTGCAGGTGAAAGGAGGTGTATGTGTGTTCATGAATAAATCAGACTGGTTAAAATTCACACCTAAAATTTTGCACCACAGCGTAAAAGCAGTGCTTTTCTTTCTTGCTTACTTTCTAACCTTTGGAATTTGTTGTACAGACATGGTCTTTCCATCCCTGTTTTTGCTTTTATCCACTTTTTTTCCCCCCCTCCTTCT